TTCGTCTGTTGTGTCCCCCTAAGCTGTCGACTGGAAATGGCTAAACAACGGGTGGAAATGATCCTGATTTCCTGCTTCTGTTTTCTTCAGCTGAAGAAGATCCCGGACAATTTAAACAAAAGATTATTTTAAAGTGTTTGTTTCCACAATTGACTTTTACTTAGAAAGAATAACTGAACCAAACTGAATTCTAGTTTCTGCGTTTGCAGTATTTTCTGAATCTGTTGTGTCAGAGCTGGAAGATCCGTTTGTCAAGTTTCACTTCAAGCAGGAAGTGAAACCGTCTAAACCGACAAAGTGGTGAAAACTTTGGGTTTTGTGACTGAGCACCAGGTGGGCAGCTTGCTCTTCAGGTTTTCCTAAACAACATTATGCGTCTTTAGTTTTTTGTATTAAAATCATCCAGAACTTTCTTCCCACGAACGCTTAAGAATTTCTGTCACAATTGCTATAGCAATCATGCCTGCTGGTCACGAGGCTGAATCCATCAGTAGGCTTTGCAACAGCGTGACTCATTCAGAAGAAAACAGATGTTGCTTTCCTTATTGTGAAATAAAACTGAACAATCACTAACAATGTTGCACAACACAGAAAGCTGGTTTTCTGATAGTTTGGTTTTATTTTGCCTTTGACTCCATTAATTGTTTTTTCTAAAGATAAAAAAAAAGCCATCTGACGACTGCTTCAAACAGAACCCATTATAGTCTATGGCAGGGGTGGGCAATTATTTTTTCCATGGGGCCACATGAGAAACAGAAAATATTGTGGAGGGCCAGGCCAAAAGGCTGAAGTCAATTATGCATAATATTAATGGTATTTCTTTATAAAAACAGTAAATACCATTGTTTTTTCAAGCTGGTAAGAGTAGACTATATGTTATAAATGAGCAACAAGGAAAAAGTTAGGTTGGCTTACAAAAATGTGATTTATTCAAATTTCCCAAGGCAATGGTGAACAAAGTGTGCACATTTGGTTTTTGTTAAACATTTGTGACTTATATTAGTTAACAGTTTCAGTCACATTCACTCCAAAACACATTTTGAGTTTGTTGGAAAGAGGTTCTTAGCATTCTACAGACACACAGTATTGTCTGTAAAATAAAATCACTGAACTGTGATCTTGAGAAAGAGGTTTAAAAAAGTGTCCCAGTTCACTGCTAGTTGCCTACATTTTTGGTCCAAACACCTTATTTTGTGTTTTTAAGCAATTTTTTTCTTATTCAGTGAGAGAAATCTAGTCTCTGCTGGGCTTTAACGAGTGCATCAAAGTCAGGTTGAATGTCTGAGGTGGAGATGCGAAGCACAGCTGACAAATGATCATCAGTGAGAGGATCTATACCTGGATTTTGTAAACTTCATCATTGAAAATGTTTGTTCACAAATGTAGGTAGAGCCGAAGAGAACCAACATCTGAGCATGTCTCCTCAGGTTTGGAAAGTTCTCCTTAAGAGAAGAGTAGAAATCCAGCAGAGATCCTGACTTAAAGTGCTCTGCCAGAACTGCATCAGACTGCAGGTCAATGAGTTCCAGCTGCACATCACTGGGTGCATTATCCACACTGCAGGTAAAGGGAGAGGAAATCATGTGCATTTCGTCCTCGATTGTTCTGAGATCTTCAGAACGCCTTGAAAACTCACCATGTAATGCTCCTAACATGGATGAGTACCTGCTGAGGTGATCAGCTGATGGTGTGACTTCGTTCAGGGTTTGCATGTGAGTGAGAGTGTTGCTCTCCAGTTGACTTGAAAGAAACTGCAGCTTTCTCATGAAGGCCTTCACGAGGCTGTGCATTTCATGAACAAAAAGGCCCTTGCCTTGCAGTTTGGTGTTCAGTTCATTCATCTGCGCAGTCACATCAACAGCAAATGCAAAATCTGCCATCCAGTCCTCATCTGAGAGCTCTGGAATGTCTTTGCCTTTCCTCTCGCAAAACTCTCGAACCTCTGCTTTCAAGTCCCAAACCCTCTTCAGCACTTTCCCCAGGCTGAGCCATCCGACAGCTGTGTGGAGTCCTCCGAAAGAGCCACAAACTGTCTGTGTTTCATCGCCCGCGCCCTGATGAAGTTTATTATTTTAGTAACAACATCAGTAACATGGTTGATTTTTAGCACTGACTTGCACAACACATGTTGGTGTATAATACAATGCAAAAACACCAATTTTTGATCTGCATCGATTTCTGTCACTTTATCTTGCATGCGTTTCTAAAGTCCGACATTTTTCCCCGTAAGATTTGGACAACCGTCTGTTGTGACACCTGACAGTCTCTCCCATTTCAATCCCAGAGTGTCCATGCACGCATTTACCTCTGTAAAAAGATCACTCCCTGTCGTTGTCCCTTTCATCGACCTCATCTGTGAGCTTGAAGTCCGTTATCCCCGGACAAATATGAGCAGCTGGGCCGTGTCGCGGACATCACAGCTCTCGTCTAAGGCCAATGAGAAAAGGTCAAACCTTGCCACTTCACGTTGCAGCTGAAGCTCCAGGTTCCCCACGATGTCCTCGATCCTCCTGGTCACGGTTCGCCCGGACAGCGGGATTTGCTCAAATGCGCCTTTTTTTCAGGGCATATTAGTGCGGCAGAGTCCACCATGCACTCTTTGACAAACTCCCTCCGAAAACGGCTTGCTGTTTTTAGCTATTTTGTGGGATATCACAAAGCTGGTCCTGGTTGCTGCATCCCTGGATGTGTGAAGCTTAGTAAAACAGCCTTGCTGCTTTTGCAACTTTGCTAGCAAAGCTTCGGATGTCCGTGCCCTCTCAGCATCAGACAAGTTCTTGTATTTTTCCGAGTGTTTCTTGTCGTAATGCCGACTCAAATTGTAGTCCTTAAACACGGCAATCTCCTCCCCGCAAACCAAACACACGGCTTTACCTCCGACTTCAGTAAAAAAAAATACTTAGCAGTCCAATTTTTGTTGAAAATCCTGCATTCGGCATCTTTCTTTTTTTTTGCATGAGCGGACATTTCTGGGGGCTACAATCACCATGTCAACCGCGGGCACTTGTTGCTACACGTATTGCGTCATTGTGCACGTAAAAAACAACTTCAAAATAAAAGCAATGCAGCCTTAGTCCATGCATGAGGTAAAATGAGAAAATACATTTATTTTGTAATTACGCGGGCCGGTCAAAGTCAACCAAAGGGCCGTATGTGGCCCGCGGGCCGTAAAATGCCCAGGTTTGGTCTATGGAGTGTTTCAAATCATCCGTGACGCTGCGATTTTCAAATGCGTTCCAGAAGTAGCACACCGCTAAAGATAGGATTGGGTTTTGTTTTTTCCACGAGCCGCTTCTGGGATGCATCAATTTCTGCAGTTAACACAGAGCTAGACAGTAAATCACACGGTTTAAGTGTAAAAATCCCCGGTAATTTCCAAAATAAAAGTATTGCAGCGATGTAATTTCATATGTAGCTTCCGTGCGACCCAATGGCTCCAGGATCATTCCAGAAGTGCAGCGGTGTGTTTTTCATGGCTTTAATCCTGCCACTGGTGAGGAACAACATCATACATGACATCAAACAGCGACAACAACGTCATTTCCTTCTTTTTGGTTTAACGGCGGACTGCATAAACAAACCTTTGCAGTCTTGAGGGATTTTGTGATCTTGCGAGTTGAGCGAGGAGCATGGCAGATAAGCTGCTTCGCTGCCGAGACTCTCCCGGTGTGCACTGGAGTGCTTTGATTGTCGCGAGTAAACTGTTCTTCTACTGTTCCGCACCGCTGACGCTTCCACTGTGCAGTAGGGCTAACTCAACAGTAGTGGTACAGGTTCTGCTCCGTTGATGGGTCTGGTTTAAGATCCACTTATGCCGATTTTGTGGTTTCAGACCAGAAACGTTGATTAATCAGGGGAAACAGACAAGAGGGCAGAGCAGAGAGTATTTACTTTATTGTGGGCAACGGTGGCACAGGAATTAAGTGCTGGCCCTGTAATCGGAAGGTTGCAGGTTCGAGCCCCGCTCAGTCTGTCGCTGTCGTTGTACCCTTGGGCAAGGCACTTAACCGACGTTGCCTGCTGGTGGTGGTCGGAGGAACCGGTGGCGCCAGTGCTCGGCAGCCTCGCCTCTGTCAGTGCGCCCCAGGGCAGCTGTGGCTACATTGTAGCTCATCCCCACCAGAGTGTGAATGGGTGAATGACTGACTGTATTGTAAAGCGCTTTGGGGGGTTCCAGGACTCTAGAAGGTGCTATATGAAATACAGGCCATTTACCATTAACGCCTTGATATCAGCCACTTCAGTTATCTGTCAGTGGTACATCCCATGTAGGGGTCTGCCCTCCCACGGTGGTATTTCCAGTGTCTCCTCCTCTGTTCGACATTATCTGAGACATTCACTGAGCACGTCATCTGTTGGAACCTTGTCCTTGATGTACTTATGGATCTTGGATATTTCATCCTGGACAGTGGCTCTGGAACTCACTAGTCCTCGGCCTCCTTCCTTACAGCTAGTGTACAGTCTCAGGGTGCTGGACTTGGGATGGAACCCTCCAGGCATGAATAGAAGCGTCCATGTCTTAACATCCGTGGTCTTTATTTTTTACCTTTTTCTTCCCTTTTCTTTCTTCACAAGAAATACACAAGAGAGATATATAGGATGGCTTGGCAGGCCAGCACTTAAGTGCATCACTATCAGATGGCTGAAGCCAGAACTCCCAACATATGGATCTAAAAAGTTTGGGACCTTTATCAAATGACACAACTTCTGTTTACACTAAAACTCCAAAAATCCAGTTGAATCAAGAGATGAGCCCCTATCGTAGCCCAACTGTTGCATTTCTTAGCTTTGTTCCACACAACTTTATAATAAGGTTTAGTAAGATCATTTCCAGCTGAAACTGGGGAAACATAATGGAGATGTAAAATGTCTACAATGTCTGTTGTTAAATAATAAAATTGTGTTAAAATAAAAAACAATCTCTGATTTTTAATACCAGATATTTCCTTACAAATGTTAAAAAGTATAGAACCTGCAACCCAAAAACACACACTTAGTACCTCTGCTTATTCGCTGCTTCTCTCCTGACAGGATTCCAGGAGTGTCGATGATACTGATGCTCTGAAGAACCTGATTGGGCATCTGAGAGCAGATGAACCTGAAGGACACAAGGGCCAAAGACACATTGTTAAAAACCAGAGAAGAAGATGGAAGACAGTTGCCAACAAATTACTTTATTTTTGTTACCTACTAGAATTATCAATAAAAAATAATATTCCAGATCTTCTTTCTCAACGGTCTCATTCATGCAACAGAAAGTTAAACGGCTATTTATTTAAACAAAAAATGGAAAAAAACTGACAATAGTGAGTTACGCAACTGGCTCGACTTTGATGAGAGCAGTCGGTCATTGTCGAATCATCTAAATGCTACAAGGAGGTAAAATGCATCGTTCAAAGAATGGCAGCTCCAGAGAACAGTGCTGCTATGAGGCCACTGCAGGCAGAAAAAGTCCCAGCACAAAAAGCTGAAAGTGTCTATGTGCACATGACATTGGTAAAAATCTAATGCAGGTCAAGAGTAGAAACCACAAAATAAGGACAATAATTTATAAATGTCAGGGTTTGGTAGCCTGGAACTACTTAAAGGTGCAATATGCAAGAATTAAGTAAGAGTGACATCCTCTGGTCAAATTTAGGTACTGCACCCCTTTAAAAAAAACACTAGTGACTGTCTCACTCCCGTACTGTGGGCTTCGAGGCTGTTGTCTTTTCAGATCAGCACCAGAAGATTCTAGATGATGTGTGAAGACGATTCACACACAGTAAGTTGATAAGTAGATGTTACAGTAAGCTCCACATCCTGATTTGTATTGCACCATAGCGGTGTAAGTGTTCTGATTGGAGAAAATGATTTTTAATCTTTGTCGAAGCCGTACGGAAACTGGACTGCATTTATTCTACATTCTGTACAAAACAGAAATTTCTTCTGGGCCGCTCTTGTTACTGGCTTAGGATTTCTAAAAAACGCTACTGTGTTTGGTGGCTGGTGTCAAATTACAAATGCCGGCAACCCAGCAGTCTCCCAGATCGTAAACAGTCCCTCTTTGACCATTTGAAAGGAGAAAAACTGACAACCCTCCAGCTGGGCGGGACAAAGATCTGTTTTAATGTAACCTTCCTTCCAATCTCCTCTGAGACGATTTCACTGTAGAATCCTTAAATATTGTACCTTTAAAATGAAGTTATTGCATTGAACCCAGGATTCTCATTTCAGTTCTTTCATTTGCTCTTCCCTCTTCCATCTCAGGAAGAGACAGTTATCCACACCTTCATCTCCTCACGCTTAGACTACTGTAACTCTCTTTTCACGTGTCTGAGCAGAACCTCCCTGAACCGTCTACAGGTCGTTCAGAATGCCTGTGCTCGGCTTCTGACCAAGTCCTCCAAACACACCCACATCACCCCACTTCTCCTCCAGCTTCACTGGCTGCCAGTCAACTTCAGGGTTCATTTCAAGATCCTGGTTCTGGTCTTTAGGGCCTTACATGGACAAGCACCATCTTACATTGGTGATCTTCTTAGTCCCTACACCCCCAGAAGGTCCCTGAGGTTCAGTGACCAAAGCACCAGTCTAAAGACCAAAGGTGGCAGTCAGATCATTTGCAGCTGTGGCCCCCAGACTCTGGAACTCTCTCCCCCTGAGCCTGAGATCAGTGGACTCGGTGGGCTCCTTTAAAAAGCAGCTGAAAACTCACCTGTTCAGGATTTGGTGTGACCTTCTGTTGATTCGTCTTCACAACTTCTCTTCATGCTGCCGTTTCTACCAATTCTGTCTTCCCTTACATTTTTATCAAAAATTTTTCCTTTTTCTATATGTTCATTACAACATATTTAAATTATTAAATCATTATTTTTAGTTTTTGTGAAAGGTCAGGGTCTTCACTGTTAAGGTTTCCATACTGTGTTGTGTTACATCCATTTAGAAGTAGATGTGTGTAAAACTTAAATTTATTTACAGTATTTTTAATACAGTCAAGGGTGTGTGTACACCAGCGACTGGTGGAGACACACCTTTATATCCACCTCCGTTTCCCTTCTGCAGCTAATGCAGGAAACCGTTGAAGAACATTTTTACGTTCAGCAAGCACCTGCAACTCAGATTACCGGTATATGGTTTCTCAGTTAACAGGACCTTTAAAGGTAACGTCCCATTAGTCACCACACACTGGTGAAATTCATCTCTGCATTTAACCCATCCCCTTGTGCAGCAGTGAGCTGCAGCTGTGGCTGCGCTCAGGAACTATTTTGTGGTTTAACCCTCCAATCCAACCCTTTTAAAGCTGAGTGTCAAGCAGGGAAGCATTGGGTGCCATTTATAAAGTCTTTGGTATGACCTGACCGGGATTTGAACCCCCATCTCCTAGTCCCAGGGCGGACACTGTACCAATAGGCCACTGAGTAGCAGCTTTTGTAAAAGTACAGAGCAGAAGGACAGAATTGAGTGAAGCAAATGAAAATGGACCAGATGTGAACCACTAGTCTGTCCTTTTACATTTTCTCTCTCTCAAATAGTCAAGAACTCTAATAGTGTTCAGTCTACACATTAAATCACGTGTGTTGAGTGGATATGACAACGGACAATTGATGTGGACATAATAATTAACAAATGTGAACAGTTACGGGACTGAAAGAACTGGTGAGGGACTGCACAAATATAAATTGATATTTAAGTTTAAAAAGGGGGCAGAAATAATACGATTTTTCTTCTATCTGCTCCCTTTCATTCAAATATACATTGTGTTTTTATGAATATTGTTTAGTATCTGTTGTGTTATTTTTTTATTGAATGAAATAAAGATAAAGAAAAAAATACATAAACATGATCTCTGAAACGTTTGCTGTGAAAACACAACAGTAGATTTGAGACGAATCTGCTCTCAGATGGATGCTAAGCCAGCTAGGTAATGCGGACAGCAGTGATCAGACTTCCTGAAGATATAAACTTGGCTAAGTGGCAACAATAAATCACGTCCCAGAGTCGAGTCTCAGACTGACGGCGGGAAAAAACAAGACCAGGGAGCAACATGCTGTGACGCACACACTTGCCCCAGGAAACAAGGATGCTCTGGCATCAGATCAGGATACAGTGGAGTTCCTGCTAGTCTGAGAGCCGCTTTAGGTGCACATCAACACACACACACACACACACACACATGCATGCATGCACCCATGCATGTACACACACACACACACACACACCACCCTCTGAACAAAGGAAATGTGTCTGAATGTGTTCAAGTTGGAACTAAAATTAAAAACACGGAATCTAACTGTGTGTGTGTATGTGGTGTGGTGTGGGTGTGTGTGTGTGTGTGTGGGGGGGGCACTTCCTGTGTTGAGATTTGCAGAGGAAAGCAGTGACAGGAGAGTAACGATTTCTTTCTATTTATTTATGTTCAGTGACTATTTCTGTCAAAAGGGATCAAGGGCACCCTTCAGACCTAATAATGGCTCAGAGACTTCTAATACTCGGATCCCTGGAACTGCTTCTTTCCTACAACTTACTGAGGAGGAGAAAAGCCAAGGACGGTCTCAACACCTGACCTCGTTGTTCAAACTCCTCCAAATATCACACACGTTAACATTAGTACTGAAAGCATTCAACTAAATGTAATCTGTTTCATCAGCTGATATTTGAACAACTGAACTGTTTGAGAACCACTTCTCATTTACAAACGTGACCTAGCCATATCCTCCATTGTTGTGTTGCATTTTTGATGTTTACAGATGAGCTTGACCTATGAAGGCCATTCCAGTAGAAAAGTTTATCAATTGTAGTGAAAAACCACCTGAACCATTAAAGTTGAAAAGAGTTGACCTGCACCGAGTTGATGCTAGCGGAAATGGGCTAGCAGAGGCACTATAATATGGTGGCAGAGCATTAGCATCAACATGACCTAGTGATCGTTCTCCTGGCTAAATGCTGTTACTGCCGTTTGTCTGAAACTTTAATGTTCCTGTCTTTTTCCCATGGAAGTCATAGACCAGACTGAGAAACCGGTGCTACCAGAGGTCACTACATACATCAGAGTGTCATACATGAAGACCAGAGATGGTGTTCACATAACCAATCTGTGTTTTTACCTGTTGAGGAATGAGTTTCCAAATGCGTTGAGTTTCCTGAAGGGTTTTTTGGGATCCACCACTAGAGCATTACCAGGGACAACACCCTCGTTTTCACCATACATCACAGCAATGAAACCATCCGTGGTGGGTTCTGGTCCAATTCGCATTCCAGGAAAATCCTGTTCCAGAAGGTACCTGAGGAGAGAATCAGGTTTAGAGTAAATGAAACTAGCTGGCAGTTTCCCCCAATCTGTCAGAAACTTTGTTTGCACACTCTGAAATGTTTTTCTTCCTCTTCACGTTAATCCTGTCAAACTCACACATCTCTCTAGGAAGGAAAAGTGGTGGCTGATGGACTCCAATAAACTCACTTCCTGCCTTTCAGGATAGCATGGACATCAAAGACAAAACATCAGAGGATGGAAAAACGGAGAAAAAAAAGTTCTTCGACTAGCACTTTACCAGATTTTACTCCATTCTTTAAATCAGCTGAGAAACAGTAGGCACAACATATGACGAAACATTATTACCACTATTGAGATGTAATTTTCTATGAAATCAAAGTTATTTTTGTGAGTCATTACTTCGACCTGAAAAAAAGTCATTTGGGGCATCACTCAATGTCAAGGAACCTCGCCTTGATCCTGCCTCGGTTGCCAAGGAGATACATCATCAGGAACCACCAAGGCATGTTCCAATGTTCATGTGCTGCAGAGGCGTCTGTTCTCCGTTTGTCTGCTGTTTAGCTAGCTGAGCAAGGATACATGGGAGGTGTCTTGTCTTCCCAGAATACAGTGCTGTATTTTCAAAAGAATGTAGGATCAGGAGTCAACAGCTACTCCGTGGGCAAATTTCTAGTTTAAATAAAAGTAAACTAATTGCAGGTATTGGGATAAAATGTTTTTATAGATCCAAAGAAGTTATCTATGGTTGGTTAGTTGCTTAGTAGTTGCAGCTTCGGTGGCTAGCAGGTAGTAACTCGCTTACATATTTAAAAAGTAAAAGGCTCGTCATAGAAGAATTTTCCTAGGACTAGTTGTTACAGATCCCTTTCAGCACAACAGTTGAGAACTTGGTGGAGTGCGCTTTACCATAGGTTTTGTGGTGAAATTGGTGTGACACATCTTCAGTTGTGTGCCCCGACCTCATTGGGTGTTTCGGCCACTTATCAGAATACACCCTCTGCTGGGGTTGGCCCACCCCTGGTTGATCAGACCCGGGTGTGTGTCACTCAGAAGCACCACGTCATCATTTGGCAGCCCAAATAGCATCCCTTCATTTAAGCCACAGCCAGTGCTGCTCTGTTCCGCTGCAGTGGCGAGCTCTTTGACTGCCCTCCGTTGGGCCTGGCCTCTGATCCCTACTTCCTTCAAAAGCCTTATTATGGAACTGGCTATAAAACTTCTGCATCCCACTTCCACTGGCCACACCTTCACATTCCAACCCCTCCCCTTTGCTTCAGCTGCTAGGCTTGCGTACCGCAGCCGCTTCCGTTCGAATGCTTCGTCAACGGCATCCTCCCAAGGGACTGTCAGCTCGACAATGAAGACACGCCGGCAGGACCTTGACCAAAGGACAAGGTCTGGGCGCAGGTTGGTTGCAGCAATTTCAGGTGGAAAGGTGAGCCTCTGTTTGAGGTCTACATGCAAATCCCAGTCTCGGGCCCCATCCAATGCACCAGGGTCGGTACTAGATAGCTTTGTCCGCTGCTTCTCCCCTTCCCGCATGAAGATTTTCCGTGGGATGGCAATCTGGCCATTGGTAGGCATAGCGTTGATGGTTACCCTCTTTTCCTCAAGTTTGGCAGCCAAGCACTTCAGTACTTGGTTGTGGTGCCAGGTATATCTCCCTTGAGTTAGGCTGATCTTGCAATCCACCAAGATGTGTTTGAGGGTTGCTGGGCCAGCACACAGGGGACAGGCTGGATCATCTCCATACCACAGGTGTAGGTTGGTTGGGGTGGGCAGGACATCGTATGTGGCTCTAATGATAAAACTTAGTCTATTTGCCTCCATGCTCCGCATCTTGCTCCAGGTGATTTTCCTCCTCTCCATGCTTTCCCACTTCATCCAGCAGCCTTGCTGAGCTTGGGAGACAGCCTTTGCACATCTGGCTGCTTCCTCCTGGCGGCGTACCTCCTCCACCACCATGTGCCGTCGTTCGATTGGAGTTGCTTTTTGCCATTTGGGTTTTGCTGCTTCCATTCCAAGGCCACTTCTGCCGTGTTGTACATGGCCCACTATGTCTCGGTGTCTGAGAGCAGCCTTTGCCTCCGCAACTGCTGTCGATGGCTTCCATTTCCTCCCCATTGCTAGGGTTGGGGCAGCACCTCTGATGACTGGATCCCAAGAATGTGTGAGGGACATTTCCAGCCTTGTCTTGGCACACTTCTACTCCACCAGGCTTGATATTGGCAGGGAGAGGGCTCCGTTACCATATAGGCCAATGCTGGTAAGGCATCTCGGCAATCCAAGCCACTTCCTCAGCTGCGCATTCACTTGCCTCTCCAGCTGGTTGGCATGGGATAGTGTGACCTCATAGATAGATTGGCCACATGAGGCGTGGTAGCAGCCCAAACTCAAAGCAACATAGCTTTAGTTTCCCAGGGAGAGCTGTGTTGTTGATCTTCTTCAGGCCACTGATTGTATCCTGTCTGAGTTATTCTATCTGCTTTCAGTCTTTGAGTTCTGCACTATACCATCATCCAAGGCTTTTGATAGGCTTCTCCAGCATGGTTGGTATTGGCTCGTTGTTGTCTTGGAACCTCACATTGGTCAGCTGGCCTTTGATAATGGAGATACTGCGGGATTTGCTTGGTTTAAACTCCATTCGTGCCCATTTGATGTTTTCCTGGAGTTTATCCAACAAGCGCTTGGTGCATGCCTTTGTTGTTGTTATTGTCGTCATGTCGTCCATGTACGCCCTGATTGGAGGACTACGCAACCCGCTCTTCAATCGTTCTCCTCCAATCACCCATCTGGATGCTCATATGATGATCTCCATGGCCATTGTAAACACCAGTGGAGAGATGGTGCAGCCCACCATTATGCCTATCTCGAGGTGCTGCCAGGCAGTTGTTTTAGTCTGTGCTGTCATGCAGAATTGAAGGTCCTGAAAATATGCTTTGACCAGCCTTGTGATTTCCTCTGGGACTTGAAAGTAATTGAACGCCGTCCACAAAATCTCATGTGGCACTGACCCAAAGGCATTAGCTAGGTCTAGAAAAACCACGTGTAGGTCTTTCTTCTCCTTCTTGGCTGTTTGTATCTGGTGCCAAATGACATTTGTGTGTTCCAGGCATCCAGCAAACCCACTTATTCCTGCCTTCTGCACTGTGGTGTCAACAAAGTTGTTTTTCTGCAAGAAAACTGATGGCCTCTGGGCTACAACACTGAAGAATATTTTTCCTTCCACATTCAGGAGACTGATCTGGCGGAACTGCTCGATGGTTGAAGAATTCTTCTCTTTGGGGATCAGGATCCCTCCCGCCCGCCGCCATGCCTTTGGTATAATTCCTTTCTCCCATGCTACCTTCATAAGCTTCCAGAGGTACATTAGGACGCCCGGCGCATTCTTATAGAGCCTATATGGAACTCCATTTAGCCCAGGGGCTGAGGCTGTTCCTGCCCGCTTTACTGTCCTCTCCACCTCGCTCCATGTAGGAGGCCTTGTTTCCAGCTGGTGCTTGGGTGGTTGAATTGGTGGCATATCTTCCGGAATACTGGCTGGTACATGCCTTTGACTGTCAGAGTAGGTCTTCCTCATGTACTCCTCAAGTTCCTTTATAGGTGTTTTTAGGCTCCCGTTTTTCTCCTTGACAAAGAGGTCTTTGACGAATTTGTAGGGATCTCTGTAAAAGGCAGCCCTTGTTCGTTCTTTCTTCTTATGTAGTTTCCTAAGACATTCTGCTCTTCTCAGTGTTGTAATTCGCTGCTTGATGTCACCTTGTAGTACCTCGATTCCTTTCTTTTTATCTTCTGTAGCTTTCTTCCATTGTTTCCTCAAACTCCTTCTTTCTTTAACCAGTCGTTCAATCTCTTGTTGCCTCCTGGGCTTACGATTTACTAATCTGTCCTTTTTTGTCCTAAGGTTTGTATTTTCCCCAAATCTCTCTGCTCCGTAGCTATAAATGATCTCGCCAATCTTGTCCAATTTCATTTCCACGCATCCTTTCAGGCCCTCCAGGAGATGCACTAGGTCTGTATCTGCGGTTTCCCCCTCCTTTTTCTGGCAGGAATTAGGCCATAAAACATCTGTATTGAAACTAATATGTAAAAGATCTAACTTTACCTTGCGTGTCACGTGAGATTAGTCTGTTACATTTAACCGCTTTCTTTGACCAAGGAAGGTCAGTGTCCTCATAAGCAAGGCACCTGGCCTACCAAGGCACTGCCTTGGATTTGGTCAAACAATGCCTCCACCCATGTGAATTCCACAATAGTACACAGTTGCAGACCTGGAGACCGCAGATTCATCCACGCTACAGATTCAGTCATGTCCCCTCAGCCCTGCCCTTCAAAAAACAGCCTCCAGTCACTAGGTGGCAGCAGTGCTCTGAATAATCAACAGGTTGCTCATGTAGAAAATGTAGCTCAGTGGAAGAAGCAGCCTTTTGACGCTTTGCACCTACATCACCTGGTCCCAGGTGGCGCCACCAGGTCACCAGGTTCAGCTGCTACTCTCACACTGGGGGAGACAATATATCTCATAACAGTGAAGCTTATCATGCTAAATAAATAACTTAAAGAGGGACTGCACACCGTCAGAAAATGCAACTCCACCCCTAGTCAAGATCTGAAAAATGCCATGAAAGTGGGCGTTGCCAGGAGGCACAGAGTGGCATGGCCAAGTGTGGAGAATTTCCATCCTGGGGGGGGGGGGGGGGGGGGGGGGGGGGGGGGGGAATGGACTGTACTGATGACGTGAAATTGTTCCAGCCCCAGTCAATCACAAGTTTAAAATGCAGTAGTTCACAGTGCTGTTCTGCCACAGGGGCAGCACTGAGACGTTTTTAGGCCTAGATTCTAGATTTAATCAAGTTCACACAAACATGTCATAAAATGCACAGAAACAGAAACATTGTATTTGTAAAGACTCAATTATACAGTTAATTATCAAATACAAGTTATTTTGGGGTTTCGTTACTCTTTAACTCATTCACTGCCATTGATGACTAAAGTCGTAATTTTAAATCC